CCTTCTGTGCCAATGTGATAATTTCTTGATACATTGTTTTCATTGTTGTCATGTTTTATTCTTGCAGTAAGGAAGGCGTTTACCTGGGAGTGGGTACAATCTCCGGGAGTGTGGCCGTCTACATTTCCTTCAGCTTACAAGTAAGTCGTCAATTTTCATCACAGTCTTTTTCTGTGTCTGAATGAGTAGTCTTAGTCGTCTCCATTTGTACAGGTGACTGTAAGACCAAATTTGACTGTAGTTTTGGAGGATGCTTTCTCTCCAGAATCAGATCTTCTGTTCAGCACTGTTATGACCTATTGGTGTTGTAAATGTCGTAAAACTCAGCTGGATTCTCTGTGTGACCATCTGTTCCTCCATGTGGTGTTCCTCAGAAACTGTACATGGTGAAGGAGGCTCACTCCATCTTTGTGACCGGGGTAGAGTTCATGCCCAGCTCGGAGGCGGCGCGCGCCGTGACCGGCGACCAGGACTTCAACCTGCTCAGCATCTCAGCCGACAACACCGTGCGACTTCACCAGTGCCCCGAGAGGAGTGAGTGTTTCCATGACTAGAGTCAGACAGTTTGACAGCAATATATGTGACTAGAGTCAGACAGCAATACATGACTAGAGTCAGACTGTTTGACAGCAATACGTGACTAGAGTCAAACAGTTTGACAGCAATACGTGACTAGAGTCAGACAGCAATACGTGACTAGAGTCAGACAGTGTGACAGCAATACGTGGCTAGAGTCAGACACCAATATGTGACTAGAGTCAGACAGCAATACGTGACTAGAGTCAGACAGTTTGACAGCAATACGTGACTAGAGTCAAACATTTTGACAGCAATACGTGACTAGAGTCAGACAGTTTGACAGCAATACATGACAAAAGTCAGACAGTGTGACAGCAATACGTGACTAGAGTCAGACAGTTTGACAGCAATACATGACAAGAGTCAGACAGTTTGACAGCAATACGTGACTAGAGTCAGACAGTTTGACAGCAATACATGACAAGAGTCAGACAGTTTGACAGCAATACGTGACTAGAGTCAGACAGTGTGACAGCAATACGTGACTAGAGTCAGACAGTTTGACAACAAAACACGGCAAACGTCATTTTCAAAGTTGTGGAGAAAATTTCAGTTTCTTTTTTTGGGGGGTTTACCGTTTATTTTCCTACAGGGCTGCATCCCTGCAGTGTGTTTTTCGCAGGATTTGATTGTCTTTCAGCTCCTGTGTAATCTTTCCCCTTCACTCAACTAGGTATTCCAAACCTATTTTTATTTATTTCTTTATTTTTAATGCAGATTGAAATGAATTATTCCAGTGTGTATGTTTTTGTTCCAAGTATTTTTTCTACTAAATCTCCGGTACTACACAAAGCTAAGCATTGCTCGGTTTTGTGACGCACCAGGTAAGTCATAAAGGAACAAGGGGGTTAATCACATCTTTGTTTTGTCTTTCAGCATTTATCAACCCAGTTTGGCCGATCCTGGCACTCATTGCAATCATCTACTTCCTGTTCTCAATGATGGCGGACATGGGTTTGTGATGCTGGTGATGAAGGCTTGTGGTGGTGATTGTGATGCTGTGGTGAACGCTTGTGGTGGTGAATGTGACGCTATGGTGAACGCATGTGGTGGTAAATGTGATGCTGTGAGTGCAAAAGTGTGGAAACTGGGACTTGCTGGGAGGTCTGCTCAATGCGATGTGTTCCAAGAGAATCAAACAATGTTTTGTAGTTTGCGTCTTCCCAATTACTGTTTGGTGTTCTACGACTAAATGATGCGATCAGGATGACCTGTATGTATTCAGGATTCTGGCAATAAGATGTCCTGCTAATATCCAAGGTCACTATTACAAACTGTAGGTTTTTAACGGCATTCAAACAGAGAAATGAGTGGCAAACCATGATCGCCAATATCTGTTTTAGATCTGGCTCTTGAAAAAGTAGAATTCCTCCTGCTATTGGAATAGGAAGGTCCTCCTTTCTGGCATGAACAGCTACAAGCCTTGATGGCCACCTCGGAATCTGACCTTACAAGACTCGCTCAGAAGTGTTAGGTTGGTGGGGTGGCTGAGTACCTCTGAGTCTAACCAGACTTTCACCTATAAGTGTTAGGTAGGTCGGGGGGGGGGGGGGGGGGGGGGGCTGGGTGATGGTAAGAAAGTGTCCTTTTGTGGGGGCCTTGTCTGAGAGGGTTAGAAAGAATTGACTCTACTAGGCGGAGATGGGTTATACTGCTTGGTTCAACACTTTAGCTCACACCTGATTGATTTAAAATGTTCTTTGTCATGCAAACCATCTTAAATTTTGTATTATTAGTCATTGAGAGAAATTTCTGCATATTGCTTTTGTAGATCACCCCAGTGTTGAAGGGTAGAACTCGTTCTTTTATCATTTAGAGGGAGATGCCTCGCGTCTTGTGATACTTGTTGTTTTTTCTGAAGATGTGCAATTCCTTCTGCGAGACTTTTGTTGGTAAGAATGTATGTCTGGAACAGGTGCTTGATTACTTCATCGTTAAACTGAGATGATGGAAGTTTGAAAAGACCGAATGAGCATTTTAGTTAGGTTTTTTTTCCCTCTTTTTCTTGCCTTAATTGTTCATGCATTGTGTATTCTGTTTTGCATGAAGAAAGTCTCACTGTTTTATCTGTTTCTGTTTTGTGGACTCGCCATACTATAGCACTTATTCTGTTTCTTTTCTTACACTTCTTTGACTCTGTCTATTTTTCTCTCACCTCATTGGCTCCCTTTTTTGTTGTTGTAATGTATGGTCATTTGTTTGTTCCGTTTTATGATGGGAGACAGTGTGGTGACACATATTGTCACTGTTTTTTCTGGCCTGATTCATGTACCCAACCGTATTTTGTAGCCTCCATTTCTAACAAAATGTGGGTGGTTGGCACATGCTCTGGTGTGGTTTTCTCCTTCTTTCCTGTTTGTCATCTGTTGTCCTTATCTCTCCTCCTTTTCTTTGTTTGCTACTCTCTTGTAACACCTCTTTTCTTCAGCGCTTTTAACCTAACTGTGTTGCAAATGCCGTAAAACTTGCTAAAACTGAAAATATATATTTTTTTTTTTTCATTTTGTATGGTTACTGGCTCATTATAGTTTGTGGCCTCTGATTGGTTCCTTCTGGTCTACTGCTCACATGAGCTGACTGTTGCGACAATATGACAGTTGTCTGGCTGCCTTCATCAACTGGATGTTTCCTCGCCCACTTCTCGAAGAAAAGCTACCGTTTTTGTTGTTTTTGTAAAGTGTTTTACGGCGCTCGCAACTGCATAGGTCATATGAGCGCGCGGGACACACCTAATATTTTCAGTTGATAGGAAAGCTACCGTGGCTTACCGGAGACAAAACAGTCATCTCTGGGCTTACCGAGTGTCTTTGGCGTTGGTGTGGTGGGTGGTCAAACTTTGGCGTTGGTGTGGCGGCCGGGCAGACTTGATAGTTGCCTGGCTGGCTCTGTGGCTTCTGTCGGACTTGAGTATGTATCATAACAAAGCTGGCGTAGTAATTTTTGCAAGTTATTCCTGAAGTGAACGGCTGTGAAAAGACGGGCGAGAACTTGATGGCAACATTGTCTTTGTGTTGTACACTGTGTTACATTGAAGGAAAAATGTGCCCTGCTAGTCGCTGGATATTTCTTGGTATATATGGTGATGTTTTGTCATTCTTTTTTTTCCAGTGTTGTTAAGAAGAGGAGAATGCTACTTGTAATAATAATAAATAATAAATGACATTTTATGTAACGCTCAACCCTGATTAAAGTACACAGGCTCTGAGTGCTTTGCAATACAATACAATGTACCCCAGTAACATAAAACGTTGTGTTCTGACCAAAAGAACGCCCTGTTACGATAAAGAAGCTGTGGCCAGTTATTTAAAAAGTTGATACTGTAATAGACTGACTTGTTGAATCCTATGAGATAAAAATGGTCTAAGTGTAACTCACAATTTTATTTATTTGATGTAAACTCCCTCTGTCCATGTCTGTATTTTCACTTGGTTCGTTCAGCATGTCCATTTCCTAAGTATCGCTGCCATGATATTTATATATATATATATATAGATATATGATTTAGTGTACATAGTAATTTATTCCTTGTGCCTTCTGCAATGGTCAGCTCCAGTGTCTGCCAGGACTTGACAAACCGGCTTCACAGTCACATGGAATTGTTGTTTTTTTAGGGGGGGGGGGGGGGGGGGTCTGCGCAGCTATACCGTAGAAAACGATCTCTTTTCTGACATTGTAGCTGTAAATGTTTAACGTCTGTATCAAGATAATTTAGGTCATTTAGAAGGCAAGCTGAGAAGGATTTACTGTACCACTCAGTTGATAGATGGGGATACTCTGTACCGGAAACTATCCCACTACGGGACTGAACAAGCTCACATCTGCTGTGTGCGACGGCGAAGAGATGAACAGACACACCGTAGACACCAGGACCCGTCCCTCTTTGTTGTTGAGCCTGTCTCTACTTTAAAGATGTGTGTGTCAATGGTGAGGGGGGGCTTTAATGAGATAACCCAAAATTTTCTACCAATACATTTTTCACTTAGTTGTAAACCATAGTGAAATACATCATCTCAGTAAATGGTGTATTTTCAACATATATAGAAATGTGTGAAACATCAACAGAAAATGTGAGTCGAATTAAACAATGTTTAACCTCTCCTGTGCAATATTCTCCCTGGGAGATGTAGTCTGTGCTGTGCCAGCTGAAGAAACCTGTCTGTTGTCGTGTTGAATGTCCCTTTATCTTTGTCACTGAATTTGGAAATGAGATACTTTCTTGAAATTTCACTGCTCACTCACCTACATTTTAACTCGTACGTATGCCTGCTTATTTTTTTCCTATAAATTTTGTTGCATGTCCAAAGAATTTTATAACAAGGTCTTCTTGAAGGTTTTTGGGTTGTTTTTGGGTTTTTTCGTTCATGAATTACATTTTGTAGACAGATCTGATGGTCATAAAACTGTCTGTGATGATGTTCTCAGACGCGCGTGTTTCTGAGACGTGTGTGTTTTTGAGACGTATGTGTTTCTCTGCTAAATTCTTTTGGAGTGAGAAAAGGATGTTTCATTCTTTTAATAATTCCCCTTCTTTGTATATCTGTGCTGCCTGTTTCAATATTTAGAATCTAAATTTTGTCTAAATTAATAATTGTTGACACTTGATACCACAGATTTCCAAAAACTGCAATAAAAAATGTTGATAATTTTCTGCCTAGAAGTCTGTGAACAGGTGTCTGATGAAGTAGCAGGACAGACTACAGAACGCGTCGTGGGGGGGGGCAGTAAGACTCAAGAATGGAAGCGCTGGAAGAAGGAAACAAACTATGGGAAATCCCACGTCTATCTATAGACTTTGTTGACATCAGTAGGCCCTAGATGTGGGGTCCAGTCGTGGAAACACAAGAAAGTTATTAGGATGTATGATTATTTTCTCTTCTAATGATGATAGAGGAAACAGGATTTTCCGTTTTTTCTTAAGATTACAAATTCAGTTTTGGACGTGAAATTGAAACGAGAATGACAAAGGACAAGGAGGTATAAAAGCCAAGAATTCACGTTAAAAAGGGGAGGTAATATTATTTTATTTTACTATATCTGTTTTTATTCCCCTTGCTCTGTGTTCTCCCCGCCCTACAGCGTGTGTACCTGGTGTGGTACCAGAGAGATTCGTATACAGACTCTCTGGTGGTACTGATTACTGCTGTTTGGTGGATTGTGGGGGACGGAGGAAGGTTTTCTTGTCGCTTGTACATGATGCATGTTTCTTGTTGATGGGAAGCTTTTTACACTATTAAATTTCCCTTTTTGCAGAATCTGACCCCTGTCTTTTTTGTTTTAATAATTGATTGTTTTGTTTTTTTCTGACTGTGACGGGTGCTGTTTGAGTGACAGAAAGGCTTTCAACGTCTTGAACAAATCTCTGAAATGATATGATTCGTATAATATAGGTTTAATTCTGAAAGGGCCGAGTCAAATAGGACATTTGTGTAAAATGCCTTTCCCAAGGACAACATCGGGTCTATCTGAGACTCGAACCCCCACACCCGCAATATATGATGACGGGTCTAGTTGCCTGACCGCAAGACTAACCACGCCACCAAACGTCTAGCTTTTCATAGAAATAATAGAAAACGATTGAAGCAGAGATAGACCAACAATAACTTACTAAGAGGACTTGTATTCTGTCTGTCTTTCTCTCTCTGTCTCTCTGTCTCTCTTCTCTCATTTGCAGCACTGTGTGGTCGGTAACCTCACTACAGTTGTCATGAATTAATTTCTTCTTATTATATATTTA